TCTCAGCATTTCTTAAGATGAAGGAACTGAAAAACCAAATTCAAGCCTCAATTTGCAGTACTTAAGGACACTTTGGGCAGAATATTAAATGATCCAAGAAGAATTAAAAGAAGATGGAAGGAGTATACCGAATCATTATACCCAAAAGAATTGGCTGACACAGAAGAATTTCATGAGACAGTGTATGAGCAAGAGCCTGCGGCGATGAAGGAAGAAGTTCAAGCTGCTCTGAAAGAATTGCAAAAAAATGCAGGTCCCAGGAACTGACGACATACCAAATTGACATATTTCACAAAACAGATGCTGCCCCTGAATGCGCTCACCAAATTGTGCCAAGAAATCTGGAGGACAACCACTTGGCCAACTGACAGGAAGAGAACCATATTTGTGTCCCATTCCAAAGAAAGGTGACCTGACAGAGTGCAGAAGTTATCAAACAATATCATTAATATCACATGCAAGCAAGATTCTGCTAAAAATGATCCAAAAATGACTGGAACACCATATTGTCAGGGAACTGCCAGAAGTGCAGGTTGGGTTTAGAAGAGGTCATGGTACTAGGAATGTTATAGCTACTTAGGCTAAAAGCTGGAAGATGGGCAGTCTCCTCCTATGTAATTTATAACTTCTGAAAATCTCATTGAGTGCCAGCTATAAGTCATCTCCAACTTGATGGCAATGAGTTTTGAGTTTTTGAGAGTTAACTGTGCTTGAGCTCTGAGGTATGTAGGCTGACAGGAATGTATTTTCATTGGAACTTAGCCACGTGATACCCTGTACAGGAGCTCAATGGCCAGAAGCTGTAGTTATCCAGTTGGGCCAGGACTGGGAGGTTATGTTTTTCTGATTTGCTTGCAAGTCTAAACAATGTTCTCCACCCAATTGCTCTTTTTCTCTGGGGCCTGCATTGGTACAGGCAAAGCCACAGTATTAGAACAGAGCGGGTATAAAAATGAGTACTTGAGGCATCTGTAACCAGATGTCAGCCCTTATATTGGGCAGATGTAGAAATGCTGGGCCTTTCGTGGGCCACCTTCTTGATGCCAGCAATCGCTGCCATAGTACTGTTGTATGCAGGGTTTCTTTGAGTAAGAAGGGACTCTGGCATTTCAGAACAACTTCGGGGAACCCTACTCAGCTCTGCCGGTGCCTGTTCACTGCAGAAATAGCTCTCTCTTCTGAGTTTGCAGGGGTGGGAGACTCGAAGTTTCTGAGACCACCTTGGCCACTGACCACTTGTTCATCAGCTTCCTTTCCTGTCCCCTCAGCCATCCCCACTGGGACTTTTCCACCGCTCCAACTTCAGGCAGTGGCCTTCCAATGATTCGGTCTAATCCCCCACCACTTCAAGCATTAGGCGCGGCCAGGCTCTGGCTGATTGTCCAGTGCACCAAGCCTTCCCTCCACCTCCGGTGCACCTCTCTACACAGAATCATCTGTCTTTCATGCCTCAGACTTTCCTCCCACCCATCTCCGAGGGAGTCTTCCAGATGGAGGTCCTGGGCGGACAGGAAACCACCTTGGCCGGTCCTAGAAGCTCAGTTGGTGTAGACGGGGGCGGGGCAGGGCGGGAGGGTGTTCCTAGCTCCTCCTCTGGCCCGCCCCTCCGTCGAGCTGAGGCGTCCGGCACTCAGACAAGGTATTGGCTAAAAGAGCCCAGGACCCACCTACACCGCAATCTGATTGGCTATTCTAGCCTCGGCCCATCTCACTCTACGACTCAGCTGAGGCAAGCGCCTGCGTGGTGTGCGCGATGGGTGGGGCAGGCTTTTTGCCGTGCCTCCCGCGGGGCGGGGTTTGTGGGGCTTTAGGGCAGTGGACCCTGGAACAGCGGCTGCACTTACTCTGCGGCATCATGACAGAGGGCACGTGAGTCTCTACTCGTAGACCCTCCAGACCCTGGGACCCCCGAGCTTCAAACCTTGGAACGAAGCGTCCTGGAGCGCTGGCCCAGGCCGCCTCTGTGGGCGGGTTTGCCCTAGCCGAGACCAGTCCGGGTCTCCCGGGAACTCCAGACTTGCTAGGCGGGGGCTGGAGCGTGAGCTTACGTTTGTCCACGGCTTGCTTTTGAGTAGATGTGTTGGGGCGGCTGGACTGGCTTCAGCAGACACGGCGGGAAGACTAGGATCTGGCAGGACTTCTGTGCACCTTATGCGTTGAACAAAGACAGGATCCACTTAGGTTCTATTTGGCAGCACTACTGCTGCTTGGGGACTACTTAGAGGCAGCAGCAGAGGGTTCAGTGACCAGAGGTCTGGTGTTGAGCCTGGGTAGGATAGAAGAAATTTGCTGCAAAGAAGCAGTGTTAGACCAGAGTTCTGAAGTTACCAACAAAAGATACACTTCTGCTTCCCCTTGTGCATGAATTAATGCTTTATTCACGTAGAGAATGAATAGAGCAAGATGAGCTTCACTCGTGGACACCAGCTCTCTTGTAATCAGCTTGCTCATCCTGCCTTTGACCAGCACAGGGGCAAATGATTTGTGCTTTGAAGAGACTGTGTTCTTCCCTCCTCACCAGGAACAAATACTGAAAGCGGGATTGGCCAGGTGCCATATAAAGCTTGGGGATGTGCAAGAAACAGTTAGTTATTGAGTATCCAGAACAGGGGGAGGAGAAGCAACCCAGAAAGAGGAAACCTAATTCCCAGCCTCCATACTGGAGAAATCTACCCCCCTGTTCTGGGCACAAGAGGCAGAAGTATATGAAGATTGTTTTTGTTTGTAAGATGGAAGAAGTAATTATATATGAGTAAGCTGTTGGGATTTGTGAAAAAGTAAATGGACAAAGATGGTAATGAAAGGGGCCCAGGGGAGTGTAGCTTGTCCCTGAGCAGGGAGAGGGCTGCCAACGTGTGGCACCAATGCAGAATGTCGTGTCTTCTCCTTGGTAAAAGCAGAGACTGGTGGCAGGTGTGTAGGCTATGAAAAAGTGACTTAGAGGCCACATAAAGGTAGGGAAGCATTGGTAAGTTTCCTGGTGGCTTGGAACTCTGGAGTTAGTGGGCATAAAATCCCCAGTGAGATTGACACAGTACTCCCTCTATCAAGGGCAGGTGGTGATCTTTCCCCTGGGCTCATCTCAGGGCTGTCTTCAGAGTCAGGTGTGCTAACAGCTCATAATGGACTTATGAGCAGGAACGTAGAGGGCCTGAGCCTGTAGTCCCTTCTGTATTCAGGCTCTGATCTCGTGAAAAACAGGCGGGGTGGTAATGTGAGCACAATTGCTTCAGGTGTCTTCGTCGCCGAGGGGGTCCCTACAAAACAGAACCTGCCACTGACCTTACCCGCTGGCGCCTCACCAATGAGGAGGGAAGGCAGAGATGGAAGTATTTTCAAGATGAAGACCCTGGCCGAGCACAGACTGGCCTGGAAGCCCACTCACTGGGACTGGAGACCGTAAGTAGCTACATCTGCTCATTGCTGTTTCACGTTTGGGAAATGGCCAAGAGGCTACCTTTACTCCCTCTCTGCCCACCAATTCCAGGAATCAACAGGGATCATGGGGAAGTTAACTATGATTGACATTTATTTTTTTTGTTAAAAATATTTTGTGGGACAGCAAGAGGGGTGGCATATGACCTTTCCTTCAGATAACTAAGGTTGTTTCCTATGGGATCCAGTTGACTTAAAGCATGAGTTGGTCACCTCTGAGATCCTAGTAAGAACATCATGCTGGCAAAGTTAGAAGGTCAGAGAAAGATAGGAAGACCCTCAACTCAGTGGACTGATACAGTGACTGGACCAGTGGGCTCGATCAGTATCAGAAATCATGGGGATGGTGCAGGATAGAATAAAGTTCCTATCTGTTGTTCATAGGGTCACTGTGAGTCATAGTCGACTCGATGGCACCTAATGACAGAATAGTGCGTTTTTTAAAAATCCAATATAGTTTAGTTTTTAAATTCATTTTGGAATAGTTTTTTTTTCTATAATTATATTTTATTAATTTTCATAAACATTTACAGAGATTTTGGGCTTCCACTCATTCATTGTTGCACTATTCTCTCTACCCTCCTCCCAGTTTGTTCTTGTCCAAATGCCACAGTGCTTGTCAAAGCCAGTTCTGATCAATCTTCTTTGTCAGTGTATCCTTTGCCATTCCCTATCACTCCTCCCTGAGAGAGACTTCACCCTGAGTCATAAGGAAAAGGGCACGGCGTATTCTCTTAGCTACTTCCTGCTGAAAAGGGACGCTGTGGGTTTCAGGGTGAAGATCTTCTCTCACTACTCTAAAGGGCCCCTTTGGCAGTAGGAAACACATAGACTATTATGGAGATTGATTTTGGAATTCAGATGCACTCTTATTGATTGTGCTTGGCTGTACATGTACATATCCTTGAAGATGTATCATGGGGGTGTTGCAACCTAGCATTTTGGAATAGTTTTAAATTGTGGTGTTGTTGTCGTTATGTGCCATCAAGTCACTTGCGACTCATACGACCCTATGTACAATAGCTCTGAACCCTGCCCTGTTCTGAGTAGTCTCACTGCCTCTGATATTCCCATTGCCCCAGTTACTGTGTCAATCTATCTCATCTGGGATCTTCCTCTCCTGCACTGTCTCTCCACCCTTCCAGGCATAATGTCCTTCTCTAAGAACCTGGCCATGTGCCCAAAGTATGTGAGACATAAGGGAGCCTAGTGGCAAGAAGCTGTGCTGCAATCTCAAAAGTATGCAGTTCAAGTCCACCAGATTCTCTGCTGGAGCCAGTTGGATCTGATTTGACAGAACACAACAAGAAAAGGGGAGGGGGGAACAAAAAACAAACAAACCCAAGCCAACAAAGTATATGAGACAGAGCTTCCAAATCCTAGCATCCAAGGTGAAACTTGGTTTAACCCTCTCCAAGATTTTTGGCAGTCCATGGTATGTTCAAGACTCTTCTCTAGCACCACAACTCAAAGGCATCTATTTTTCTTCTGTCATCCTTAGTCATTGTCCAGTTCTCTGATGCATAGCAAGTAATTGCAAAGACCATGGCCTGGATCAGGCACACCTTGATCTCTAAACTGATAGCATTGCTTCTCAGTACTCTGGAGAGGTCCCTGACAGCAGATCTTCTTCCCAATGCAGTTTGTCTTTTGATGTGCCAAGAGTGTTGATTGTGGAGCTGAGCAAGTTGTAATTGTTAACAACCTCAGTCTCTTTTCCATCTATCATAGTGTTGCCAGTTGACCTAGTGTTGAGAATCTTCTGGCGCTCTCATTAGGGTGGCTCAGTGGTACACAGTTGTGCTGCCAGCTCAAAGGGACACAGTTCAAATCCACCAGCTGCTCTGTAAGAGAAAGATGAACAGTCTCCTCCAGTGTGATGTACAGCTTCTGAAAAGTGACTGGAGGGTTAGCTGTGTGTCAGTTCCAACTTGACAGCGCCCAGCAGCAGTAACAACAGTTTTAGGTTTATTGGAAAGTTGCAAAAATGGTCCAAATTTTGTTTTCATTTATAAAAAGAAACTTGTGGTTTATTTTCTTGTTTGTATTTTAAAGTGTTCCATGCCCTTGTGCATCAGATCCAGCTGGTTAAAAATGTTTGCTATAAAGGGTTTTCCTTGCCACACTTCAGCTCTGATCACATCCCCTTTCAGGGTCCCCCTCCCCTCCCCAGAGCCTGATAGACTGAGTGAGTGTCCATGTCCATGTCCCGCTCCACACTTTCTGTGGTCTTAGTTTGGTTATGTAACATATCTTGGAGAAGCTGTGAAGAAATTAACCAATCTCTGAGTAGAAAGCAGACCACATAATTGTGGAACCATATTTTAACTTGAGATGGTCAAAGCTTTACTGGAGTGGCTCAGAGTTTTTTATTGAAGCAACTGAAACATTGAAATTATTCTGCTTATTCTTTTAACCAGACTCAGCTCTTGCTGCTTTTCTCCCTTTACAGAAGAATTTCTTCAAGGACTTGCCCAAGGCCCACACAGCACAGGAGGGAGCTCTGAATGGAATGATATTCTATGCGGGGCTGCAGGCTGAGGATGGGCACTGGGCAGGCGATTACGGAGGCCCACTCTTCCTCCTTCCAGGTATGAAGGGGCCCTTCTGCTGTAAGAGACCACAAGCAGGGCTACCCTTTCCTCCTGAGCTCCTGATTCTTTCTGGCCCAGGCTCTTGGGTAAAAACCCAGCAGCTTACATGGAAAGGGCCTGCGCAGGGCTGCCTCGAGCTGACCCTCCTGGTGCTGGTTCTGGAAGGTGTCCTTGCCTCACAAGCCCAGCCCAGTGTAGGGTGACTGATGCTTGAAAGGGGTGTCGGCAGAGAGAGGGCCTTGAGCTGCAGCACAGAGGCTGGGAAGGGCTTTTCAGCCAAGGTCCAGCCCACGCAGCCAGAGATGGCAGGGCTGGGCAGGAGCAAGATGTCACCTTGAAGGGAGAGGCTGCAGAACCCAGGCAGGGGAGTCTCAGGTGGCAGTTACATCAGAGTTTATGGTTGAGTTCCTAGCCTACCAGACTGGTTTGTCAGGATATGATCATTTTGCACCCTGGGCTTATATGTCTATGAAATAGAGTTTGGCAATATAAAGACTCTCTCCAAGTATTCTGCAGAGGGATCTTTCCTCAAGGACTTAATGATTAGACTGGTTTTGTGTCCTGAATTCTTGTGAAATCAAAGATCTGTGCGTGTGATAATAAGCTTCACAGACTTGAAATTCTATTATCCCTTCGTTGCCTACCCCCCACCCCACCCCCTTACCTTCTTTGGCTGGGTCTGCCTGTTTATTCATCCAAATTGTCTGTTTAGACCCATGGAGAGCTCCTGGGGACTTTGTGTGGGACTGTATTAGGTCTCAAGGTTGGCTTGGGCCTGTGCCCTCTCATGTCAGAAATGCTCCCAGCGTTCTGCTCTGTGCCCAGTCCTTCTCCTGGCTTGGAGCATATAGATGAGAAGACCGAAGTGTGGGAACTTTGGTTACCTGACTAAAGTGGGGGAAGAGGGTATTGGATGGGGTCACCTGGAGCAGCAGCAGTCATGGGAGGGGACATCATCATCGGGGACAGTTTTGTTCTGTGTGGTTCCCTCCATGCCTGACTGCCATTGAGACCTCTTCTTTCTGGACTATGGACAGCCTGTTCCCCTTGTGTGGACAGACTCTGGGTGTAGTAGGTGCCAAGAGCACCACATGTTCCTCAAGAGCCAAATGAGTCCTGAGAATCTACGCTCTTGCTTTAAATTGGGGGTGGTTACAGGGTGTAGGCTGACAGTGTTGTGCACTGACCCCCATCACTTGAGGGCTCTGTCCAGCCTGCCCCCATGCACCAGACATGCCTCAGTTTCCTCACCTGCTAATTGGGGGTGTTGGCAGACCCCACCTCCTAGTGAAGCTGGAGTGGGAAGAGCCAGGGGAGTTAGCAAGTGCCATTGGCTGTATTCACTTGGATGCTGTTGGGACCGTGACTGTCTCCGTGGCCTCATCCCCAAGATCTCCAGGCTGCAGGTGATGCTGCTCCTGCCTACCGGAGGATGTTCTTTATTGAAAAAATGGGACCTGACCTGGAGTGGCATTTCTGTGAGCCTTTGGTGTCTGGGGCCCGGATGTCTTTCCGGGGTGCATTTCCATGAGGAATATCCGTTAGACCCCTGAGGCCATGCGCTGCTGGTGCTGCAGGTGTGGTGGTGTGGTGCCTCGTGAGCACTGCACCTGGGTAGCCACTGTGGGGCCTGAAGAGAAGGTTCTTTATGAAGAATGCGATTGTCTCCTCGTTTGAAAAGTCACAAACTTGTAAAAAAATTTACAAAACTGAAGTGAGCGAGGCACAAGGCGGCCACTTGAAGAGAGCAGAGGACCCCACCTTGTAGCAGGGAAACAGGAATACAATGTTCCAGATTGACGGCCTCACAATGAAGCTAGACCTGGAGGAGAGGAAATGGAAGATGCATCAAGATGTTATCTCTTCCATATGCAACTTTCTCATCTGTGCGGCTGTGCTGGGAGTTACTAGCTTTATCTTAAAGAAATGGATATCATATAAAGATTTGGCATCACATGTGAAGGCATGTTGTGAAGACTGGTTCAAATTTCTACTCCATTTACAAATGAATAGCCTCAAAGACCTAAGAACCTCTTGGATTGAATGAACCTTAAAATTCTACTTGTAATGAGGCTGGCATCAGGGTGGGGGTAAGGCCGAGAAAAACTGGACGAAATATGTTTACGGCATTGAAATCTATGGGGGAGAGAATAGTTTAAAAGTATTATATTTTAGGGCATTATGTTTATCATAGGAGTACGCAATGAGGGTTGCAAAGTGGATTATATTTGGGGTTGGGGGTGGGATTGGGGGAGGTGCCGGGGTGGATTGTGTACCAATGAGGGAGTTTTGCTTTTCAAGGAGAGGAGCAAAGGGGGGGGGGGGGGTTTTTGGGGGAGAAGGGGAAAAAATGAATGAATGGAATTCCAAAATCTCTGTAGATGTTCATTGAAATGAAAAATAAATAAATTAAAATATATTAAAAAAATCTACTTGTTATGAACGATTTGCTCTGGACCTTCATAGCTAAAACATAAAACTGGGAAGAATGAAAGGCTCTCTTGTGATTATGTTGCACCTTTATGCCTGTGATAGTCAACCTCCAAGAATGTTGGTATACTTGTGGGTTTGTTGTTTGGTTTTTTTTTAAATTTTATTTTATTATTTTTGTGTGCGTGTACCATCAAATCAGATCTGACTGGTACAGGAGGAGATTATCCCTCCTTCCCCGGCAGAGCATCTGGTGGATTTGAACCCGTGTGCCTCTGGGATTGTAGTTGCAGCTCCTTGCCACTAGGCCACCAGAGCTCCCTGTGGGTTTTTTTTTTTATATTTATATGAATACATTTACTTTTTTTTTTTAAATTATTAATTTTAATGAAATTTACAGAGACTTTGGATTTCCATTCATTCATTGTTGTACTTTTCTCCCTGCCCACCAACTTCATTTTCTAGCAAATGTTAATTATAAGGGTGCCTGAAACAAACAGACAAACAGACAAACAAACAAATCCCCCAAACTAAAATGAGCAAGTGAATGTTGCCCAGCAGGGCCCAGGGACCACTAGTGATAGTGGCCTTTTTATTTTCCAGCAGGAGTCAGAGCGGGGCCAATGTCTCTCCTTTGGTGCATCAAACACCTCAGACTCCCCTGGGGTTCTCAGGAGTAGATCCCCAAAGCAGTGCAGGGGACTTGGTGTCTCTCTGACCTCAAGACTCTGGTGGGCTATGGTGTGGCTGGTGGGGGCTTAGCAAGCTCTGGGGCAGCATCACAAGTGCTATTGCTGCCACTCCAGGACCAGTTCCCACAGTCCCTTACTGGGGGCCGTTTTTATGGAGGGATCAGCTCCTTCAGGGACAGCCCCACAGTGGAGTCTCCTTAGAACTAAGACATTCAGGTTTTACACTGCTGGGTACCTACTGCCAATAAGGACTTTCCTTTCTGCCTCATAGGTCTGCTGATCACTTGCCATATGGCCCATATTCCATTGCTGCCTGGGTACAGAGACGAGATGGTGCGGTACCTGCGGTCGGTGCAGCTTTCTGACGGCGGCTGGGGCCTGTGAGTGTCCCCACACCTTGTCGTTACATGCATACATACGTGCATGAGTGTGTACTTGTACCTCTATGGCGCCATGTGGCCTGTGTGCATGTGAGTAAGGGTGTGTGGCAGGTACAACTTGTGTGCACTTGTGCGTGTACACACAAGTATGCGGGGCATATATATGTTTGGGGGTTCATGCACGTGTGTGTTCATGCACATAGATGCAGTATGTGGGGGTACTCGTGTGCACATGTTTGAGCATGTATGTGCATATATGTTTAGATATGTGCTCGGGTTTTTGTGTGTGTGTGTATACCATCAAATCAGATTTCACTGGTACAGGGGGAGATTGTCCCTTTTTTTTTAAATATTTTAAATTATTATTATTTATTTATTTTAATGTGTGTATCGTCAAATCGGATTTGACTGGTACAGGAGGTGATTGTTCCTCCTTCTTAGCAGAGCATGTGGTGGATTTGAACTGTGTACCTCTGGGATTGTAGTGCAGCTTCTTGCCACTGGGCCACCAGAGCTCGCCGAGATTGTCCCTTCTTCTACAGAAGAGCATCTGGTGGATTCAAACCATGTACCTCTGAGATTACAGTGCAGCTTCTTGCCACTAGGCCACCAGAGCTCACCACGGGCTTTTCACTGTGCGTGTGCGTGTGCGTGTGTGTGTATGTGTAGATGTGGGGAGTGTAAATGTAAGTCCATGCCTGTGTGTATATGTGCCCCTCACTGTTGTGGTGATGCCCTAACCTCAGTTGCAACACTGCCTCCTGGGATTAGATGTGGTGACTCTTTGTGGAAATATCGGTGGATGTACTTTGGTAGGCTCTGCATCTGTGATCATGGATCTCCTTATGATCTCGCCAGATTCATGATCAATCCCAGACAGTAGCTTCTGTGTTGTTCTGTTACACGAGCGTAAGAGGTTTTAGCATTTCTGTTTGCTTGTGAAGATTTCTCTGAAAACTTTGCTTAGTTCCTTAGAAACAATACAAAGTTCCACCCCCCACCCCACCACTGTGTTTGTAGGCACATTGAGGACAAATCTACTGTTCTTGGAACAGCCCTCAACTATGTGTCCCTGAGGATCTTGGGTGTAGGGCCTGATGACCCTGACGTAGTACGAGCCCGAAATCTTCTTCACAAGAAAGGTATGTCCCACTGCACTGTCAGGCCGCACTCAGTAGAAAAGGACTCTTGTACAAGAGAAAGGAAAGCACGTTCTCTAGCGGACACAGTGGGAAAAGCACAGGCAGGAGGCCAGCCTCACAGAGGTGGGGCTTGCACCACGTCATCAACAGTTTGCCGATAGTATGGGCAAGCAGAGTCTCATAGACAGCATGGCTGCTATGGAGACCTGCTCTCAAGGGGCTTGGCGAGTGAACTGCAGGCGAGCACATGGTTCCTGCAGGGCTAGCCCTGGTCCCAAGCTGTGATCTGCTGGTGACATGAGCTCCTTTCTTCCTCAGGTGGTGCAACATACATTCCGTCCTGGGGCAAATTCTGGCTGGCCTTGCTGAATGTGTACAGCTGGGAAGGCCTCAACAGCCTATTCCCAGAGATGTGGTATGTGTGACCCTGGGCCATCACCACCTTACCTGGGAGAGAAACTGTGGTCCCTGTGTCCTTGCTGTGGAAATCAGGCCCTTGCTTCTGCTCAGCTTCTTATTGCCTGTTTGTGGTCAGGCTCTGCCCGTAGGGCATGGTGGGCTCTTTGAGTAGGGTGGGGTGTAGGTGAAGGACCCCATTGGACAGCGGAGTGGGGAGAGCAGAGGACAGCGCTTCAGGCTGTGGGCATTATGCAGGGCATCTGGGACCCTGGAGCAGATTGTGGGACTACAGGGTCTGTGAGAAGGCTGAGCATTGTCAAGAGGGTGTTTGACAGTGCCTTGGGGTCATGTGCTGGGTGGAAGCAGAGGGGAAGGCCCCCCTTCACAGCGTCAGTGCCACTGTACCTGTTGCCATCTGCTATTGCTGTCTTTCTGCTGGAGAATTTGAATCCAAATCTCCAACATCCCACTTCCCCCATGAATACTTTGGAATTTTCTTTGGTGGCTAAGCATTTTTAGGTTTTGAAAGAGAGCTGCAGTACTTTCTATTAAAGAGCACACTGCGCACTAATTCCTCATAATCTAGAGCCCAGAACCAGTGTTTTTCAAAATTTTTAAACTTTTGGTTGTTACTTGTGTGAAAGTTTACATTTATGATTATTACAATTTTTTTCAGTTACTCATGCACATTTAGTTTTATACATTAATCACAGTTGATCAGTGTAGTTAATTGATTACATCTCATCAGCTCCTTCTTATGTATAATCTTTCTCTTCACTCAATTTTTCCTCCCTTCTTGCTTCATTCCAACCCCCAGGGACCATCAACTAGAATTTTGATTTGTGACTAACTGACGGATGCTAAGAACATACATACAAGCCCCTCAACCCCTTATGATGCTGGAAGTGATGCCCCTGAACCTTAGTGGGTTTGGGTAGAACCATGAGGGTGGGTTGGGGGACCTTGGAAGTGGTGAGGGCCAACTGAGGTCCCTGCTGGAAGTGTGGAGGTGGGTCCCAACAGAGTGCTGTCCAGGGGCTGCTCCTGTGTCAGAGATGACATGTGAGTAGTGGCCAAGGTGATTGGGCGACTACATGGTGGTGATGAGGGGAGAGGAGATTGAGAGGCTGAGCAGTAGGGGGCAGGCAAGGAAGCGGGGTGGGATAGTGTTACCTGTGTAGGGGGGTGGGCACCCTGTTACCTGGGTAAGTGAAGGAGAATGTGAGGGAGACATCAGTGATCATTCAGGTGAGAGCCCCTGGGTGGGGAGATGGAAGGTGGGCAGGAGCAGCAGTGGGAGTGCCAGGCAGAGCAGGGTGGTGGGCTCTGCTGAGCTGTTTGAGGGACAGTGATCTGAGGTTTAGGGTGATGGAGGCCCAGAAGCCCTGTACACTCTTAACGCACAGGCAACACTCCTTCCTCAGAGTAGGTGGGCCATTGTGAAGATAAAGGGACTTTTGAGCTTGAGTACAGAGGTTGCCTGGGGCCGTTTGCCAGAGGGTATAATGTCAGACTTGGGCCTTAAGGAAGGAGTCACAGTTCCCATCCTATAAAAGTGAACTTCTTTTGAAATAGTTCTTGACTCCCATAAATGCTGCCCAGTGATGCAGAGCCAGGAGGGCCCCACGCCCTGCTGATGTTTCTTATCACTGTGGGATCTTTCCTTGACCAGGAGATCACAGACAGGTCTGCTTCTGGGCTCTGAAAGTCCAGTTGAGCTGGGCCACGCTGCTGCTCTGGCTTGGCCCCCTGCTCTGTGAGGCTGCCGCTGTAAGGTGGCCGGTCCACACTGGCCTGGGGGCCAGTTCACCTGGGAAAGCACCTGGTGGTGTAGTCGTGGGTGGGTGGTGGGGCAGGACTCCCTGACTGACCTCTGTCCCCAGGCTGTTTCCCAAGTGGGTTCCTGCACATCCCTCCACCATTTGGTGCCACTGCCGGCAGGTCTACCTGCCCATGAGCTACTGCTACGCCAGGAGGCTGAAGTGTGACGCTGAGGACCCACTAGTGCAGAGCCTGCGGCAGGTGAGCCCCTGACATGGCAAGGGGGCGTGTTCCGGGGGATCACCTGGGGTCTCCATGTATATTGTGCAGGCCTGTCCTGCAGAGGGAGTGGGACAGGAGGAGAACGTGAAGTGAAGGCAGCAAGTCAGCTGTCAGGGATCTTTCCAAAAAACCCAAGAGTAGTGATGTCAGTTTGAAGACTAAGGTCACCCACATCAGGCCACAGCCTTTTCAGTTATTGCTGTGCATCTCGTAGCTGAGCGGTGAATAAGGATGACAGAGGAATTGATGCCTTTGCACTGAGGTGGTGGAGAAGAGTGGTGAAGATCCCATGGACTGCCGAAAGAACAAACGTGCCTTGGAAAAGGTGCAAGCAGAGTGCTCCTTGGAACAAAGACGCTGAAGCTTCGTCTCTAATACTTTGGGCATGTTGCCAGGAGAGGCTATTCCTCAGAGAAGGACGTCATGCTTGGAAAGGTGAAAGGTCAAGGAAAGAGAAGACCCTCAACGAGGTAGAATGATACAGTGACGTAGCAATGGGCCCAGGTATCAGAGATGATGAAGATGGCACAGGATAAGACAGGGTCCAGTTCTGTTCATAAGGTCACTATGGGTCATACTTGACTGCACCTAACGACAGTAAGAACCAGGGGTCTGGAGTTGAGATGGTCTTCAGTGCTGTTCCACCTTGGACCTACCTGGCCCTTCAGCTTAAAGGGCCCCGACCATGTGAAGTTGGCTCTGAAGCTGACTCTGAGTCCCGTCTTTCCTTGAAGGCCCAGTGGTGCTTGGTGCCAGCACACGCGCATTTGTCTGCCGTGGCTGCCTGGGGTTCTGTTCCCCACATGGATCAGGCGCCCTGTCCCCACAGGAACTCTACCCGGAGGACTACGCCAGCATCGACTGGCCGGCACAGAGGAACAAGGTGGCCCCTGAAGACTCGTACACACCACACAGCTGGCTGCTCAATGCCGTATTTGGTGAGTCTCCCTGGCTGCACGCTGATCTGTGCGGGGTACACACTGGGTAGGTGGGGGGACACGGACAGCCCTTTTTCTCATATTCTTACTTGAGGGTGTGGGTGGGCCTTTGAGTAGTGTCGTTGTTCCTCTCAGAGGGAGGGTTCAGGAGAGACTCGAGACCCCTCGGGTGGAGCGCCTTAACTTTGCTAACCCGTCTCCTGCGAGGCTGCTGAGCTGCAGAGGTCGTGTGTCCGCCTTGCCCACACGGTGGTGCAGACCTGCCCGGGCCAGGCTCAGGTGGAGCCTGGTCTTCTCTCTCCAGCTCCCCCACTAACTCAGAGCCTGAACAGCTCTTCTAGCTGTGGTGGACGCGGGGGACGCTGCCCTGCTGAGCCGACAGCGTCTGGGCTGGCTTTAGCTCTCGGTGCCCCTGCCCATTCACATGGGGTGCTAGGGTGGGTGGGTGTTAGTCCGTGTGACAGACCAAGAGGGAGTGGGGGGTCGCTGTGAGCACATCCTGAGGCAGGTGGGAGGGCAGAGAGAGGACCAGAGAATGACCTGAGGGAGGCCAGAGCTGCCTGGGGCCTAGGCCCCCCTCTCACGTGTGGGATCCACTCATGCCCTCCTCTCTCATGCCCCCAGCCGTGCTCAACCTCTATGAGCGCTACCATAGTACCAACCTGCGACAGCGTGCCATCCAGATGCTGTACGAGCACATTGCTGCTGATGACCGCTTCACCAAGAGCATCAGTATCGGCCCGGTCAGTGCCCCCAGCCCAGTGACCCCCGCTTATGCTGTGCAAGGCCCACCAGGGTCAGCGAGCAGATATCCCAGTGGTGGCAGAGGGGGCCGCTGAGGTGCTCCAACCTGCATGACTGCCTGCATAACCCACCCCCCCAGTTTGTGTTGTATCTTGTCCCCACTACCAAGTCTCGTCTTATAAGGGGGCTCTGGACTGTGCTCCTCACACCACCGCCTGAGCTCACTCTGTGTCCCCCTCTTCACTCCTCCCCCACATAGCACACTGTCTGCCCTACTCTTAGACAACTTAGAGGTGACATGGAGGACCTAGGGGGGCTTGGAGAACGTCGCCCAGACCAGAGCCTTTCACACTTGTTGAGGCTTACGTCATCACAGACCTGGCCGGCAGTGTCCTGTGTCCCCTAGATGGGACTGGGGCCTCCAGAGCTTTGGATTAATGCTACAAAAAGTACTTCTGGATTAAAGAAGAGCTCGGTGTGTGGTCCTCTTGGGTTTTACTACAGACTCTTTAAACAGGACCCCTTCGGGTGAGGTATGGGTCTGAATGGGGAGAACTAGCTGGACCCTGGCATCTCCTTCAAGCCTTTGTCACCTGGAGCAGTCTGTTTAATGCATATTCTGAGAGCACCAGTCTTTGCTCCAAACATATCATAGCTTTGCAGTGTGGGACTTCCAGTCACTGACCCTGCTCAGCGACCTACAGATCACCCTGCTGACCACCCTGCCTTCTCCCTGCCTGCTACTCTTCACTTGCCTAGTCCCCTACCCTTTACCCCATGATCCCCTATCTGCTGGCCTGCCAGCTGCTCTCGCTGCAGGGGCATGTCTGTCGTGCAGCCAGGCCTGTGGCGTGGGGCCCAGGTGGCCTTGTGCACAGGCTAATCGTGAGTGTCTACAGATCTCCAAGACCATCAACATGCTCGTGCGGTGGAGTGTGGATGGCTCAGCCTCTCCTGCCTTCCAAGAGCATGTGGACAGGATCCCCGATTACCTCTGGTGAGTGGCTGGCCGTAAGTGGGCCAAGTGTGCACTCTGACACCGTTTGCTGAGACACTGCAGACGTGGCCTCAGGAAGGTTCCTGTTTCTAGGCTCATGGCAGGGACCTTGGTGAGTGGGGTTAGGATAGTGTTTGTAACTAGGAACTTAAGAACACAGACCCAGTGAGTCTGCCTTTGCATCAGAGATTTGCTACCAATAAACTGAATTGCTGGGAAGCCCGTGTGCTGGCTCACTGACATGCCTCTCTTTCTCACAGGCTGGGGCTCGATGGCATGAAGATGCAGGTAGGACCCAGTACAACCAAGCGTTTGAAGTAGTCTGTCCTGGTGGCTCTTTCTGCCTTCTTTAGCTTGTGTGGGGCTGATGAGGGCATGTGTCTTCCAAAGTCTCACACTGGAACAAACCCCTGGTAGTTGTTGAGGCGCTCGAGCTCCTTGGATGTGGCACGGTGCACCCGTGTCACTTCTCAAGGACCCTCCATCCTCTGGCCCCGCCGTTAGTGTTAGTGTAGGCTGAGCTGCTGTGCACTCCAGCATTCATGCTGCTACTGCATGCGGGTCAGAATGCAGAGTAAGGGCTCCTGTTTGCTGGCCCCCTCTTCGCCTTGGCTGCCCCGCTCAGTGGTTCTGGGAGCTGTGGGGCAGAATGAGCAGGACAGTACTGTGCTGGTCCTGTTGTAACGGCCTTGTTTGTGTCCAGGGCACCAATGGCTCACAGATCTGGGACACCGCGTTTGCCATCCAAGCCTTCCTGGAGGTGAGTGGTCCTGTCGATCTTACTTGCTCCTGTGTGTGGCTCCACATGTTTCCCCTGCGCCCTCGTACCGTGTGCCTCTGCTGTGTCTACCTTAGGCCCTGCCTTTGCTGTTCAGTCCTTTGCTTGCTTAGGTCTTAGGTCTGGCTGGGGGTCCTGATCTGTAAGGGTCTTGGCCTTTCTTCATTGACTCTGGCAACTTCTGGGCTTGTCACATTTCCCACGCCTAGTGCTGCCCCAGTGGGCATGATGGGGTGTAAGAGGGTGCTGAGCCCCCGGGACCCTGAGCTCTTAAGCAGGCTTCCCTCTAGGGTGAGGGTTTGTGGGGAATGGATTTGGTCTGAAGTGTCTGCTCCTATCCTAGTGGGGATACCAGGTCTTGTTTGGGGGCCGAGAGTCTGGCTGGGATGTGAGTAGGGATGTTCTCTGCAGGCAGAGGAGACCAGGGCTGGGCTACTACCGGGGTCAGGGATCAGTGCTCCTTTAGCCCCAAGGTGATAGTGGTGAGTGTTTTACGCATGTTCTGAGTTGGAGAGGCTGCAGGACTGAGTCTTAAGCCCCCAGCCACCTACTACCCTCTGCTCCCTCAGTAAGAGAAGTGCATGGATTTGAGGGCGTCGATGGGGCTGCTGTCCTGGAGCAGGCCCAGGGAGAATCTCAGCCCTGTTGAGGGTTGACTGGGTGGGGCGTAGATGCCAGCAAGCTCTTTTCTCTGCCAGGCTGGTGCGCACCATAGGCCCGAGCTCACAGCCTGCCTGCAGCATGCACATGAGTTCCTCCGCATCTCACAGGTGAGACCCTGGCTCCTTTCCGTCCTGCCCACCCCCGAGCCTGGCCCCTCAGCAGAGGCTAAACCTCTCTGTTGTCCCCTCCTTTGCCCCTCCTTCTGCACCTCCAGGCTGCCTCCAGCAGTGTTCTTCCATGGTCAGTACTTGCTTAGATCTCCAGCAACCTGTGTCACCAATAGCTATTGGGGGTGACCCATTGTGGGGCGGAATGAAGTATGTGCCCCCTTCCATTTCAGCTTCCTCTTAAACTTTCATGTTATGCTGCCTCTCATTAGGTCCCAGACAACCCCCCTGACTACCAGAAATACTACCGCCAGATGAACAAGGTATGTACCCGCCCCACCTTTACCTGTACACAGTCACCCTGCTGTAGGGGACGTTTCCCACTAAGAAGATGCCCACCTCCCTCAACAGCTGACAGCTGACAGGCTGACGGGCTGTCTCATATTGTCACGGTCCTCGCACAGGTTCACATACCTGCATGCACCTGTGTGTGCCTGCCACCTTGTGGAGGGCATAGACCCCCAAACCTTCAGTAACCATTGAGCTACAAGCTCACCCAGTAGCTGAATGGAGGAAAGACAGGGGCCATGTCCGTGGTCTGTCTCCTTGTGGCCAGGCCACAGTGGCCTGGGAGCCTGGGCACGTGTCTGGTGCCGTGGCCTCTGGTGGCGCCTTCTCAACTTGAGCTCTGGTTCCAGGGTGGCTTCTCCTTCAGCACGAGAGATTGTGGCTGGATCGTCGCTGACTGCACAGCCGAGGGACTGAAGTCTGTGCTCCTCCTGCAAGAGCTGTGTCCCTTTATCACTGAGCTTGTGCCCCGTGAGAGGCTGTATGATGCGGTGGCTGTGGTGAGGGCCCTGGGCCGGGTGGGAGGACTGTACCCCTGAGCCCCAGCACTGCCCACACACGGCCTACCGGGGAGTTGGTTCCGGTGTTCCATGCAGCGACTGAGAGCCTAGCTTGGCCCTGGAGGCCTGAGGTTGGAGGTGGCCTTGGGTAGATGCAGGCAGGGCTGTGAGGAGGCTTTTTCAGGCCCTGTATTCTGACATGTGTGGAGAACTGGGACCTGGCCACTCATGCTGGTTCCCAGGGTCTATAAGACAGAGTGGTGGCACACAAAAGAAAAACAAGAACTTGTGTTTTTATGGCAGAACTTTTCAGTACGCCCCCTCGCATGTGTCTTAGACCAGGCTCCGCTGCTTAGTGGCACATGTCTGACTCAGGAATGGCCTCTGTGCTGTCACTGTGTGGCTGGTGGAACAGCCCACTGTTCTGTGCACTTGGTGTAGTATATCCAGGAGTTGTTCCCTGCACCCATTTCACCCTCTCTGACCTAGGCTCTCTGCTGCTGGGAGTACTGCTGTGTCTCTGGGAGACACTGGGTTCTGACAGCCCCTCTTGGGTTTTAGTTGCTGAACATGAGAAATTCTGATGGCGGCTTCTCCACCTATGAGACCAAACGTGGCGGGTACTTACTGGAGCTGCTGAACCCTGCAGAGGTCTTTGGTGAGTGAGCAGGCAATGCAGGACACAGCCTGGGCCTCGCAGTCCGCCCCTGGCCCAGTAATAGTCCTGAAGTGAGAGGAACACCATGGGCTCCCTGCTCCTCAGACTCCCCACGTAGGATCCTGTATGCTAGAGGAGGAAGCTGAGGCCCTCCTCGCTCTTGGCGAAGGCCCCACATCCTTAGTAGCTCCCTACCTGGGGCCAGTTGCTCGAGGTTTCTTCACGGAACCCCGGTGCTCACTGAGGCTTGAGTGGAGCATTGGCCCTCAGTCCCGTGTCTGACCGTCCACTGTGGGCTCTCTGCTCTTGGCTCTTCTGGTGCATTCCTTTCTGGCTGCGTCAACACCATTCTGCACCCTGCTTCTGGGTCTGTTTTGTATCCTGATTCTTTGAGTGAGGCTGATGGTTCTGGAGGGGCTTTTCCCTTGCTGTCCAAGCGGGGTCTTCTGTAGGTCAGGGTGCAGCTCCCTGCCTAGTCCCCTCGTCCTGTGTCAAGTCACCACACTGGTGCACGGCCCCTCTGCCCCTGGTGGTTGTGGCCCTGGGCCTCACACTGCTGGGGCTGCCCACTGAGGGTGCCTGCTCGTTGTGGCCTGGTAGGAACTCACACTCCTTCCTGTCTCAGGAGACATCATGATTGACTACACCTATGTAGAGTGCACCTCGGCTGTGATGCAGGCACTGAAGCATTTTCACAAGACGTTCCCGGAACACAGGGCGAGTGAGATCAGGTGAGCCCAGGCCCTGGTCAACCTTGAACTGCTCCCACCTTGAAGCAGCACATCCCTTATATAGGTAATGGTGGTGGCCTGCCCGTCTCAGAGAGACTTTGCAGATGGAACTCATTTGTAGCTTCTTAGCATTACAGAAGATGGAGGGGTGTTCCTGAATTAGTTGCCTGCCCTGAAAGAGACCCATAGTAGCAGAAGTTATAACAAAAAAGTTGATTATTTTCACGCTTTACTGCTGTTTACAAAAACATTCATCTCATTCTCTATGTCAAAATAAATGCTGATTTTGAAGCAAACCCCTGTTGTTGAAGAACAACATATATAACAAAGTCCCCCAAACCCTAAATGACTTGAGTTCTGCTACAAGCAGTTCCCTGAGCTCCTCTGCCTCTTGCACTCCCTTCCCCAGGAATTGCCCCTGACTCTGCCACTGAGTCTGTGAGATTCAGCCAGCAGTTGTTTGTAGCAAGGGTTGATCATTTTTTTTCATTGCCATAGACATTTGGAGGGGAAGATCCCACTTCATAATCCATTTGCTTGTTAGAGAATACTGGGACTGCTTCCAGCCTGGGGTCATGGAGCACCCCTATCTTCTGGAGGCACTCATGCACAGTTCCAGGGGGATGTACAGCAACTTCTTCCTTACTCTTTTTACAATCATCCTGCTTGAGTTTTGGATGCTAATCCTGATTGGGACGCAGCTTGGTCATATTTTAGATAGTAACTGGATTCAGTTTCTGTAAGATTTTTGCAACTCTGGTTATGAAAAAAACTGGTCTGTACTTCCCTTCTCTTGAACTGTCTTCACCAGGCTCTCCTGCCATAGTTGTGCTGGACTCTGCAGGTTAGACAGTGTTTTTTTGTGTATCTGTGGAGAGTGATGTCGTGTTAATGCCATTTCTTTTCTTCTGTGTTGGGGAAAGTTCATCTCGACCTGGAACTTTCTCTGAGGACAGGTTTTAAATGATGTAGGATTTCTTTAGCAGTTCTAGCAGCACACAGTATTCCCAGGATGACCTCTGATGCTGTGGGCATGCCCTGGAGGCCTCATTATCCTTCTTAAAACCAGCAGCTAGGATCCACTCTCTCTTTACCTGGATTCTGAGTAGTAGCATCTGAAGGAGATCTGGTGAAACAGGGCACAACATGTTGCACTGCTAACAAAAAGGCCAGCAGTTTGCCTCCCCCTCCGCTCTGTGGGAGGCAGATGGGCGTCTCCTGTTAAGATTTACAGCCTTGAAATCTCAGGTACAATGTTGCTGTGAATCACAATTGCCTCAAAGGCAGTGGCTTTGGTTTTTAACTACTAGCTTAACAATTTTGTTGATGTTTTCAGAGAAACTGCCTTCAGTGCTTGGGTCTATCTAGTGCACATTTATTTTGGTTTTTTAAATACACTTATTTTGGTTTTGATGATTCTTAGAGGTACTGTGGTTAAGTGCTTGGCTGCTCATCCAAAGGTTGGCAGTTCAATCCCACTAGTCACTGTGTGTGGAAATATGTGGCAGTCTGCTTTCTTAGTCCTGGTGTGTCACTTGGTGAAAAATATCTGCAATTGTTTACGTTCTCTGTGAGTTGTTTAGGAATAAGTTGTTTCTTTTCTAGAAATGAAAATTTTCTTTTGGTTTTTGTTGATGGCTCTAGATGGACAAACGATTTTTCTTTTGTAACTGTTTTAGCTGTTTGAGCTCTGTGAATTTTTTTTATACATCAGTATAAAGTATGATGTGGCTCTTTTCTTTTGTAGTGTATTCTGTTGGTTGATTTTCGAATGTTGAACATCTTTTCATTCCTATAATAAATCCCACATGATAATCATGTATCATCTTTCTTGGGAATGGGAACCAATATGAACCTTTTCCAATCCGTTGGCCAAGAGAACAGCTGTCCTCTGAATTTCCTGGCATCGACTGGTGAGCACATTCAAGGCGGTATCTGTTAATTGAAACAAGTCAGTTGGTATTCCATTGATTCCTGAGGTCTTATTTTTTGCCAATGCCTTCAATGCAGCTTCTACTTCCTCCTTCATTACCATTGGCTCCTCTTCATATGGTACTTCCTGAAATTTTTCAGTGTCAGTTCTTTTTGGTACAGTGATTCCCTCCATCTTCTTTTGATGTTTTCTGGGTCATTCTGCCCATAGCGTTTTTCAGTATTGCAACTCAAAGTTTAACTTACATATTGAGCAAAGTATTTGAGAAGCTGGACTCTATGTAGAGGAATGCGGTATCAGGATTGGAGGGAGACACATCAATAACCTGTGTTATGCACATGACACAACCTTGCTTGCGGAAGCTGAGGAGAACTTGAAATGCTTTTTGTAGAAGATCAAGAAATGCAGGCTTCAGTATAGATTGCATCTCAATGTCAGGGAAACAAAGATTCTTACCACTGGACCTATTGGCAGCCTCATTATGGATGGAGAGGAGATTGAAACTGTCATCAATTTCATCTTGCGTGGGTCCACAATTAACATACTTGGTAACAGCAGTCAGGAAACAAGGAGATGCATTGCACTGGGAAAGTCTGCAGTTAGGGACCTCTCCAAATTATTGAAGAGTGATGATATCAGTTTGAGAACTAAGGTGCATCTGATTCAGGTCATGGTCTTTCTGATCACTTGCTATACATCCGAGAGCTCAACAATGAATACGGATGACAGAACAAGAATTGACTCCTTTGAGCTGTGGTGTTGGAGAAGAGCTCTGAACATCCCATGGATGGCCAAGAGAACAAACAAGTATGTCTTGGAGAGGGTGCAATCGGAGTGCTCTTTGGAGTCAAGAGTCATGAGACTTTACCTCCCATACTTTGGACATGTTACTAGGAGGTGCTATTCCATGAAGAGGGACATGATGCTGGGCGGAGGGTCAACAAAATGAAGAAGACCCTCAGCCTTCAGCCAGGTGGATTGACACGGTGACTGCTACAATGGGTTATAGAGTGTGAGGAATTGTGAAGATGGCACAGGATAGGATAGAGTTCAGATCTGATGTTCATAGGGTCACTGTGGGTCGACTTGAAGGCAACCTGACAACATCATCATCATCATCATCATGATGGGTACCCCTGTTAATATGCTGTTAGATTTTGTTCTGTTACTTTTTAAAACATTTATTCTTACGTTTTTTCTTTTCTGTTATTTTATTGATGATTTTTACATGTATGTCCATAGGAGACAGTAGCTTGTAGTTTCTTGTGGTGTCATTGTCTTGTTTTATTGTCAGTATTATGCTTGCTTTATAAAATGAATTAAAGATGTTCTTTACTTTTTAAAAAATATTTTGGAAAAGTTTGAAAAGAATCGGTGTTAATTCTCTGAATTCTTGATGGTGTCTGGAGCGAACCTGTGTGCTCCTTGGAAGAGCAGTGTTGAAACGGTCTGAAGCCTTGCTCTGCACCATCCATGGAGCAAGGTTAGAGAGATTTTAGTCAGATGGGATAGAGGGGAAAAACCTTAATAGCCTTCCCAGGAAACCATCAGGACTCATTGTTGTTTTTGGGGAGTTTTTGATTACTGAGTCTGTCTCCTCGCAGACTTGCTCTTTTTTCTTCACAGTTTATCACTTTCTCTCTGGTGGAGTTTTTGCTCAAGCCAGTGTCACTGTTGTTTTCAGTAACATTGGTCCTGTCTATAACTGTTTTACCTCCAAGGTCTTATTTTCTCATTCTTTCTTGAACTCCTCCAGTACTTCTCACATCTTGTAATTGCTTCTTCTTTAAACCGTGGGACCTGGTCTGAACCATTTCATTTTACTTCTTTTTAAAGGGAGAGAGCACTCCTATTTTTTGAGATTAGGGCTTGGGTGGGATTGGAAGTTCGTTGTTGCTTTGCTGGCACGTCCATGGGCAAATCTGCTGTGTTCCAGGGAGACCCTCGAGCAGGGCCTGGAGTACTGCCGACGGATACAGCGGCCTGACGGCTCCTGGGAAGGGTGAGTGAGCCAGTGGTTCTGTATTACATGCTGTCTTCAGGTAAGGAAAGCTTCTGGAAGCGAGTGGTAACCAGTGGATGTCTGGTTTTTCCCTCCTGTGTAAATCTGGGTCTTGACCATGGGTGCCCGGTGTGTGGCTGGAGGCAGCCCTCCTGTGTATCCGCTCTGCGTGAGGCTGGAAATGGCTGCACTGTACGTGCTGGCTGCCCTTGCCATCTGAGGCCATCTCTGTGGCTCTGGCTGCTCTTCCTTGCTTATGGTCAGTCGTTTTCACAGAACCAGCCCTAGAGCTAGGCTGTTTGGTTCTGTTTCCAGTGATCTAGAAGCCTAGGGTTGAGAGTGAATGACCACTTAACAAGCTGATCACTTTCTTACACTCTCTCTTACCTGACAAGCTAGAAGAATCCTGTTGTTGTAGACACCCCTTTTTCTCTTATCTCTTCAGCTCCTGGGGAGTCTGCTTCACGTACGGCATCTGGTTTGGGCTGGAAGCATTTGCCTGCATGGGGCATACGTACCAGGATGGGTAGGTGGGCCTCTGAGCACCATGGGCCACCGGGGGAAGGGTGGCTTCCTGAGTCTCTGAAGCACCGGTTGACACTGGGCTGGGAGAGCTCACATCCAGACTCTGCAGCACGGTGCTTTTTCCTCTGATGTTTACTTTACAGGAATTTTATTAAACAGTAAGCTAATATGCATTGTGGGACTGAGATCAAGATAGTTTGCTCATTTATGAGGTAGTAGTGATCTATATTAAAGATACTGGCCTGAGAGTTGCTCGTGGAGGAGCCTTTGAACTCTGCCCCTTCCATCTGCATGCCTCATTCCCCAGCAAGTGACAGGCTCAGAGTCAGGCGGACCTTCACGTTGGGTCTTCCTTTCAGTGTTTCCTCTGTTGGCTGACTGTAATCCTGCTCTTCAGGGTGTATTTGAGTTTAGCGTGTATCTTTCCTGCTCCCCTAAATGTGCCTGGAGAGTGTTACTGTCCCTAGTTCACATTGGAAGCCACCCTGATATAGCAGGAGTGGGTCTGAAGAGTGAGCCTTGGGCAGCTTAGCTGAGATCACGTCCTGGGCCTTCTGTGACAAGCCTGTGTCCTCCTGGTCCCTGTAGGGAAGCCTGTGCAGAGGTCACCCGGGCCTGTGACTTCCTGTTGTCCAGGCAGATGGAAGACGGTGGCTGGGGCGAGGACTTCGAATCCTGTGAACAGCGGCGCTACGTGCAGAGCGCCCAGTCCCAGATCCACAACACATGCTGGGCCCTGATGGGGTTGATGGCCGTCAGGTAGGTGCAGGGCTGGCCTCAGGGAGAGCTGCAGAGGAGAGGTCTTGGGGTTTGCATCACAGTGAGGCTCACCTATTAGAAGGGGGTCACATGATAGCTGAGCAAGGCAAGCTTCATGTAGAAAATGCAAGAGGAGACCGTGGGTAGGGGACCATAAACCGGGCCAGGCGATGACTATCACAGGATCCACCCTGTGGCCACTTCTTCTCACGCATACACAGGTATGCACAGCTGAACGATGAGATGCACAGATGCAGACATAGGTGCTCATAGATGCACATAAATGGATGCATGCTTGGATGTACACATGCAAACGTGTACAGGTACACAGACCTTAACATGACTCCTACAGGTGTGCATGCCTGTGTACAAATGTGGTCCCACCCTGCGCCCCTGTAGTGGATTTGAGGGCATGTGAAGGATCTTCCTCCCCCTTTCCAACCCAGGCCCTGTTTATTTGAGCAGCATTTGCAGCATCTAAGGTTTTTGCAAGGGTGTCGCTCAGGACAGAGCTCAGCTGGCAGGTGGGACTGTGAGACCCTCATGCCCTTGAGGCCTGTGCTTCTGCCACCCTTGGCCAAAAGGGCAACTCCTTCAAGCAGGGGCTGTGGGCATGGGCTGAAAGCAGCACCAGAAGGCTTAGCATCCCTTGAGAGCCATGCTTGCTCTCTCAAGCCACCCTGAATGCCACTTTCCCATGACCAAAGTCTCTGAAAGAAAATATGAAGGGAGAGCCCATGTGGCCGGTTGCCCCGGGCTTGGCTGGCACTGCATGAGTGCTCCATCCACTCGTCACCATGCCTGTGCCCTCCTCTGCCTCGCTGCACACAGACAAGTGGGTTCCGGGGTGTGATCTGCATGGATGGCCTTCACCACTGCTAACCTCTGGGCTTGATTATCTCATCCTTAGACACCCCGACGTCAAGGCCCTAGAGAGGGGAATCCAATGTCTGCTTGGAAAACAGTTATCCAATGGCGACTGGCCGCAGGTACACCAGGGCTTCCTGGAGCTAAGAGCATGTTTGTTTCCTGTGTCTGTCCTACTCGGTGAATCTGCCCTACTCTGTGAATCTGTCATCTACTGGGTATAGGGTGGGCTACCACTGTGGCACTTCAACCAACCTTGCCAGTTCAAGTGATCTGGGCTGGAGCAGCGTGGGATGAGGGTGGGTCCTCATGCACCATGACATAAGGGCAGGAGCAGGTGGGAGAATCCCCCTGGGCTGGCCCTCAAACTCTGCTGTTTCCAGAGCCCCTCACCTTCTCTTTCTTATGGCTCCTGTGCCTGAGAGGTACAAGTGGCATCCTCTACCAGCAGTGAGTGACATTCCTGAGATCACAGAGGCTGGTTCCCCTTGCAGCCTCTGTTGAAGGGGCTTGGAGCTAGGGAGGATGGCTATTGTGAATGCCCAGGGCGGAGGAGGTCAGTGGCTGTGAGTGACTGATGGCCTGGCTCAGCGTTCCTATCTGGGGTGGGGGGGCCTGCTGATGGCCCCATATCCAAGGCCACGTGAGATACCTGTTTGCACCCTGCAGGGCTTCCCTGGTTGGTTGGCTGCTGACCCCTTCCCTGAACAGTGTTCACTTTTTATGTCATCCTAGGAGAACATCCCTGGGGTCTTCAACAAAAACTGCAGTATCAGCTACACATCCTACAGGAATGTCTTCCCCATCTGGACCCTGGGCCGCTTCTCCCACCTGTATCCTCAGAACTCCCTCGCCAGCCCCCACTGAGCACACCTGCAGTGGGTGTTGGGGGTCTCCCCAGCAGACTCAGGCCCCTCTCTCTGCATCTGGAATGGTGGGTTGTGGGGCCTTCGTTCTGAGAACAGCTTGTCAGGGAAAGGAACAGAGTGGCCACCTGTCTCCCAGAAGGCCCCCCTGCCTCCCAGGACCAGGCTGATCAGTTTGGCAGCATCCTTGCTATGGGCACGGGGCTAGAGAATTCTTGGAGAGGGCAACTGGGGCTCCCCCTTCCTGTTCAGGTGTCATTGCAGACTGCAGGCCACCATTGGAGGCTCTCGTATCCTCGGCCCCTGTGCCTTTCAGGGAGGAGAGAGTATAGAGGCTGACTCTGGGGGTGCTGCATACCTGTGATGCCATGTCCTGAGCACTCGCATGGAACACGGGGATTCCTTATTGACCAAAGCCACTGAGACCAACATGGGGAGTGAGGGCAGCACTCCTCCCGTGGTGCAGTCTGGCAGGTTTTTGGGGCCTCCAGCTGTGAGCAGTGATTGTGTTGAGACAGAGACTTGCCCAGAGACTAGGTATGACAAGGACAGTGGGGTGGCTGTGGTTTGACCACATGCAGAACAGCCAACCCTACCCTATCTGTCCCTCCCACCATGGCCAGGTGGGCGTGGCAGCTCTCCTTGAGTCCAGTGAATGCCTGGCCCTACTGCTCACCCCCCTCCTCCATCATGTGTTCTAAGAGGGGCAAGGTCCTTTGTCTAACAGGGAAACAGCTAGGTGAAGGAACCTTTGAGTCCTTCTGGCTCCTGCACTTGTCTAGGCTCAGGGTGGAAGAGGCAGGTTCCATCTTTGCCCCTGATTTGAGCAGACAGGTGAGTTCAAACACTAGTGCTTCTTTCCCAGTTGGGGCTGTGACCAGCCATCATGAGACCTGGGCCTGGTGTCACCCATGCTCACCCAGGTAGGAGCTCTTGGGCCCTCCTCAGTCTGCACCAGCACCTCCCTTGCTGTACCTGGACATCTCCCCCTGTTCCTTTAACCCAGCAGGGGTCCACAGCTTTCCCAGGGCATTCACCCACTGGCCTTTCTTGCCCTCGGCCTCCTGGCCTCCCTGAGTGCTGACTCCACAGGCCTGGTGCTCACCTGCCTCCGGGCATTCACTCATGTCGCCTCTCTCTGTGTTTCTATTTTCTCTGAACTTTCAGACCCGGGGCTCAGACTATATTCACAAGTGGGCTGTTAGCTTCATGCTGGAGAGCATGTCAAGTTCTTGGACATTGTGAAACTCGAGTTGGCTTAGCCTCTAATGCCTCTCAGTTTGCGTGCACTCCACCTTTCCTTCCCTTGGCCTCACTGGTTGGACAGTAGAGGGTTGGGGAACTTACACCCAGGACCACATCACTGTACAAAACACATTTTCCAGAAAAGAAGTTGAATTCACTTTTGTATTGAGATTGCAAATAAGCAAATGTTTTAAAAATCACCACTGTGATCAAGTACCTTAATAAACAGACTTTATTCCCTTTTGTGGAAGCATGCTGTACTTTATTCTGTCTTATCCTGGAGAATGGTCACCGTAACGGGCTTTCGAGACTCACTAAAATCAGAGCAGATTACAGTGGACCCTCCAGTATGTTTCTGAGACTGTAAATGACTTGGGAGGAAAAATGTGAACAAATTTTTTTTTCTATAATTATATTTTATTAATTTTCATAAACATTTACAGAGATTCTGGGCTTCCACTCATTCATTGCTGCACCACTCTCTCCACCCTCCTCCCAGTTTGTTCTTGTCCAAATGCCACAGTGCTTGTCAAAGCCAGTTCTGATTAATCTTCTTTGTCAGTTGAACAAAATTTAAAAAACATGATCACCAGGCTTACTGAGTTGAGATGGTATGCTATTTCAAAACAGCCTGTGAAAAGTCAAGGATACCTATAAGCCTTAGAGTAGCCATGGGGGCTGGGATTAAGTGTAGCTTGTATGTTATGAAAAAAATGAATTGATGGACACAGAATGGTTTCAGGAAGCAGCATACGGTCAAGAACCAGTGATAATAAAGGAAGAACTTCAAGCTGCAATGAAGATGTTGGCAAAAAAATAAGGCCCCAGGAATTGATGGACTACAAATGTACATAGTCTGTCAAACAGATGCAGCCCTGGACATGCTCACCAGGCCAAATAGTATCATTAACATCACACCCAAGCAAAATCTTGCAAAAGATGAGTCAAGAATGACTAGAACAGAACTGTCAATTTCAAGCTGAATTTAGAAAAGACTGTGGCACTAGCACTACCATTGATGCCAGTTAGATCTTGGTGGAAAGCAAAGACCAACAGAAGGATGCCTCTCTGTTTTATTGACTATGCAAAGGGATTACGGGGATGACAACATTGAGAAGCATGAGAATGATAGAGTACTTCATCGTGTCAGTGTGGAACACGTACTTAGACCCAGAAGCTCATGTGGAGATGAGACAGACTGTCAAAAGAGCAAACGTATCCCACAGGAAGTACTGCCAGAGTGTTCCTTAGATGCAAGGATGTCGAAACTGTCTCACTTCTGACGTGTTTCCAGAAAGAAACAGTCCTTAGATACACCATTCTGGGAAAGGTAGAGAAGAAGACCCTCAAATAGATGGATTGGTGCAGTGACAATTGTAACAGACATGACAGTCCCGTGAGGATGGTGCAGAGTAGGACAAGGTTAATAGGGACACTGTAAGTCGTAGTCAACAATGAACACACTTTGCTAATAAGCATTATGTTCTTTTCGAGTGATGCATCTTTCCTGATATTATGTGCAAAGTAAGACCAAAAAAAAAAAAAAATCTCACCATCATTGTTTCTAAGCATTCTGGCTGTACTTCCTCTAAAATAATTTTGGTTTTCTTTTTGGCACTTCCTGGTGTATTCAGTATTTCTCACTACCACCACATTCAGACATGTCAGTTCTTCAGTCTTCCTTTTCCATTGTCCAGATTTTGCATGCTATGTAAGTAGTGTCCTTATAAAATAGAAGATACTTAGAGAAGGCAAAGTTATCATGTGACCATGGAGCTAGATGCAACTGTAATACAAGGAATGCCAACGCCTGCCAGAAATCACCAGAAGCCACAAGAGAGAGATGAACAGTTTTTTTTCTTCAAAAGGAATCAATATGGCTGACAACCTGATATGGACATTTAGCTTCTAGAACTTCGTAGACAGCTTATGTAGACATAAGCTATAAAGTTGGAGATGCTTTAAAACATCTTTGGAGGGAGCTCTGGTGGCCTAGTGGCAAGAAGCTGCACTGCAATCTCAGAGGTATGCAGTTTGAATCCACCAGATGTTCTGCTGGAAAAGGAGGGACAATCTCCTGTACCAGTCAGATCTAATTTGATGGGACACACACACACACACAATAATAAAATTTTTTTTTAAATTTTCAAAAACTCCAAGACATCTTTGGGAAACTAAAACTTAGTACAAATCCACAATAATAGTACTGGATTTCAATACTTATCTCTTACTAAGTAACATACAGAATATTGATAAAGATACAAATTTGACCTACAAAATGGTATCACCTCTGAATACATATATATGTAGTGATGCAAAGGCATTTAACTATGTGGATCATAACAAACTGGCTAACTCTGAGAAGAATGAGAATTCCAGAACACTTCATTGTGCTAATGTGAAACCTATACTTGGACCAGAAGGGAGTCATCAAAACTGAGCATGAAAACACTGCATGGTTCAAAATTGGGAAGGGTGTATGCCAGGGATGTGTCCTATCTCCATACCTTTTCATCTAGGAGGCTGGGCTCTATGAGGAGGAATGTGGCATCAGAATTGGGGAAAGACTCATCATCAACAACAACCTGCGTTTTACAGATGACACAACCTTGCCAAAAAGGAGGAGGACCTGAGGTCCTTGCTGTAGGTGGTCAAGGACTGCAGCCTTCAATATGGATTGAAGCTTAACATCAAGAAAACAAAGATTCTCACCACTGGGCTGATTGGCAGCATCATGATAGATAGTGAAAAGATTGTTAACAGCGTTAGTTTGCTTGGCTCCATAGTCAACACTTCTTGGTACTAGCAGCCAAGAAATCAAAAGGTGAATTGCATTGGGAAAGTCTGCTGTCAAGGACCTCTCCTGAGTACTGAAGGGCAACGATATCAGTCTGGAGACTAAGGTGTTCGTGATCCAGGCCATAGTCTTCACAATCACTTGTTATGTGTCAGAAAGCTGGACAAAGACAAGGGATGCTAGAAGAATCGATGCCTTTGAGCTATGGTGCTGGAGAAGAGTATTGACTATACCCTGGACTGCTAGGAGAACAAACAGGTTCGTCCTAGAGAGAGTGAAATCAGTCTACTCCTTGGAAGCAAAGCTTAGTAGCTTTTTTGGGCATGTTGCAAGGAGTGACCAGTCCTTGGAGAGGAACATCATGCTTGGAAAGGTGGCAGGACAGCACAAGAGTGGAAGACTCTGGATGAGATGGATTGACTCATTAACTGGGGTATTGGGAGTAGATGTGTCAGAGAAGATAAGATTGGCTGAGGATAGAGCAGGATTCAGAGTTGTGTTCATAGGGTCCCGATGAGTTGCGAGCAACTTGGTGGTGCATAACAACAACAATGCAATGTGTAAATTACGTAATGATATCAATGATAATATTGTAAAGGGATTGAGGGTGAGATGTTAAGTGCTTTCAAGTACAACTCATAGCGACCCTTTGAACAGCAAAAACTAAAGCTCCAGGAATTGATGGGATATCAACTGACATGTTTCAAATGGCAGGTGCAGCCCTGCATATGTGCTCATCAGTAGGTCAGGAAATTGAAAGGAGAGCTGCCTGGCTAACTGACTCAAAGAGGTCCATATTTATTACCATTAAACAGATTGTGGAAGTTATTGAACATTATCATTAATATTAATTACATGCAAACAAAATCCTGTTGAAGATTTTTCAAAAACGGCTTGCACAGTTACATTGACAGCAAACTGCCAGAAGTTCAAGCTGGTTTTAGAAGAGGCTGTTGCACCAGGGATATCATTGCTGATGCCAGATGGATCCTGGCTGAAAGCAAAGAAACCAGAAGAGTGAGGTGAAGTACCCTTCAGATTGTAGCATCACAGCTATGATCAGATGGGAGAAGAATCTCCCTGGGATGTGTCCTGTAACATCTTTAAATCACAAGAGATAAATAAGTAGGAAGTCAAGCAGTTAAAGGGGCCCAACCTTAATCTAATCAAGAAAGAAAACCTGGAGTGGAGCATGCCCCGTGGATCCTGCTCCTTGTGTCAGAAAGCTCCTGACACAGAGGAAGCCCAAGGGATGATGAGCCCATAGATACAGAACCTTCCACCAGAATTGACATGAGGAGAAAGCTTTCAGGCTCCCTGAATTTGATCTTTAGCCTCTACATTGTAAAAGAAAAATTGTATGTTTGTTAAAACCATTCACTTGTGGTATCTCTGTTTAGTGGCTGTAGATAACTAAGATGATTATCAACCACTTTACCTAATTGACATTTATGGTCACTTTGAAGACCCAGGTGTGCCATGGCATTTTCATTTGCTTTCTGTGCATGTGAAAGTTGGGCAATGAATCAGGAAGACTGGAGAATTGTTGATATCTTTGAATTGTATTGACAAAGAATGTGGAATAAACCATGGACTGCCAAAAGGACAGACAGATCTGTCTTGAAAGAAGTGCAGCCAGAGTGCTCCTTAGACGCAAGGATTGTGAGACTTGCATCTCATCATATATTTTGGGCATGATGTCAAGAGGGGCCATTCCTCCTGAAAAAGTGAAAAGTAAGTGGAGTAAGAGAAGACCCTTGGCGAGATGGATTGACAAAGTAATCGCAACAATGGGCTTAAAGCACTGCGGAGGGTGTGAGGGTGCCTGGTCCTCGGGCAGGGTTTAGTTGTGTTGTCCGTTGGGTCACTAGGAATCAGAGCTGACTACATGGAATCTAACTAACCACTCAGGTGGCCTAGTGGTAAGAAATTGCACTGCAATCCCGAAGGCACGTGGTTTTAATCCACTAGCTGTCCCTTGGGAGAAGGATGGGCAGTTTTCTCCCATGCAATTTTAACTGTCTTAGAAAACCCCTGGAGGGTCATCTATGAGTCAGTTCCGACTTGATGGTTACGTGACAACAACTACCACAACACTCAGTAGTGGTGAAGTAGTCATCTTTCTTTTATCCTTACCGTGAAGAGTATTCATCTTTTTGAAGTGCATGTGGAACTAAGGACATATACTGGTTCTGGATGCATCTAATGAAACCATACAGAGCACCTTCCCTGACTGCAATGGAACTGAAGTAGAAATGAGTAAAAGAAAAAAAAATTAGAAAACTTAAGACTACTCTCAAAAACTCATCAGTAAAGAAGAAGCATAGGGAACTCTGGTGGCCTAGTGGCAAGAAGCTGCATTGCAATCCCAGAGATTTGCAGTTCAAATCCACCAGATGCTCTGCTGGAGAAGGAGGGGCAATCTCCTTCTGTACCAGTCAGATCCGATTTGACGGTACACACACGCAAAATAATAAATTAAAAAAAAAGAAGAAGCCTAAGGAAAATCAGAAAATATTAAAAGCTGAATGGAAATGAACACATGACATTAAATTTGCGGGATGTAGCTAAAACAGTGGCTGGTGCCTTCCCAGGCTCGTGGGAAGCTCTCTTTGCCAGAAGGCAGGAGCGTGGTGGTGGGAGTGCAGGAATCGTGGCAAGCTTTTGGAGTGGACTGCTTTTCCGGGAATGTGTTTGACGTGCAGGTTTGCTCTGTGCCGGAGTGAGGCTAGCCAGCCTGGGCCTAGGGTTTGAACCAGGAGCCAGCCTTTAAGCCCAAGGCAGCTGGGAAGGAGCGGCCATGTTGTTCCTGGTTTGGCTGGCGCCTTCCCAGGCTCGTGGGAAGCTCTCCTTGCCAGAAGGCAGGAGCGTGGTGGTGGGAGTGCAGGAATTGTGGCAAGCTTTTGGAGTGGACTGCTTTTCCGGGAATGTGTTTGATGTGCAGGTTTGCTCTGTGCCGGAGTGAGGCTAGCCAGCCTGGGCCTAGGGTTTGAACCAGGAGGCAGCCTTAAGCCCAAAGGGTTCAAATTGTCTTCCTGTCAAACATTCTTCTAGGTGGCATAGCACTGGTCTGTGCGTTGCTGTACAGAGGTAACTCGTGGTTGTTATGATGCTGAAGCCTGTGACAGTGATGTGCCAATCGTGGCAATGGGCACCCATGGCGGACAGTGTTGGCTGGAGCTTCCTGACTAAATCAAGCCTGGAAGCAGGAGCGGCATCCACTTCCAAAATGGCTTGCCTCCGGAAACTCTATGTACGAACAGTGCTCAGGCTGTTCGTTCATAGGGTCGCTATAAGTCGTCTATGACTCGACGGCATTAAACAACAACAACAACAACTAAAACAGTATATAGAGAAACAGTCACAGGTTTAAATGTTAAAGAAATAATTGAGACGTTTAAAATCAACTGTCCAAGCTTTCACTTTAAGAAGATTATAACCAAGATATTTTATAAAAGGAAAGAAATGATAAATATAAAAATGGAAATAAAATGTGATAGAACCATGTTAAATACACGAAAAAAATCTTAAGAAGTCAAAAGTCAGTCTTTTAACTCGATCATCTTAGTCTGATCAAGTGATAAAGGAGAGGACACACAGCCGATATCAACAATGAAAAATTTTGTCACTGCAGATCTTAGAAACGTCAGAGGATAAGAAGGCCGTGTCATGATCTACATAGTGCCATTATTCACAATTTAGATGAAATGGAAAAGTTCCTTGAAAGACACCACTGTTACCGTAAGAGTTAAGAGATTAGGAAAATCAGATAGCCTTATATATCTTTAAGAAAGTGAATTAGAAATATACAAGTTTTCCAGAAGGTAATCCACGCCCAGAGGACTTTGCTGGTGAAAGATAGCAGACAGTTAGGAAAGAAAGAAGGTGTTGGAAAGCTGCCTCAGTGTCCCTGAGCTGGCTGGGCTGGATGCAGTGCTCAGAGCGCAGGCCGTGCAGCTCCAGGTGCTGCAGGCGCTGCCTCTTTAAGGGTGGCGACATCACAAGGCTGTGGAAGGCAGTGGCCATCCTGGAACTTGGTTGTTGTGGGGCGTCCGTCCGTGGTCAGAACTCCACCTCCATGGTGTCGCAGGCCCGCTTGTAACTGCTGAAGGCACACCAGCGGCCATGGCGGAGGGGAGTGAACTGATGAACAGGCTCATGAGTGAGAACGCCGACCTCAAGAAGCAGGTGCGGCTCCTCAAGGAGAACCAGATGCTGAAGCGGCTACTCAGTGAGAGCTGCCAGGAGAGTGGGGGCCGTGCAGCCACTCGTGAACTCCTCTTCCCCAGGGCCCCCAGTTACCCCGAGGCCTGCTCCCCTGCGGGTGCAGGTAAGACCATGCAGGGGCCCTGGGAAGCTTCCTTCATTTCTAAGCGGGCCACTGAGCCTGTCCTGGCCGATGGGCCAGGGCCCCAGTGAGTGACTACCACAGAAGGGGTGACAGTGGCTTACACAGCACACCGAGGCCCTCACAGCTCTCCAGGCCCACTCGCCTAAGCCAGGCTTCACCGGGCATGGCAGTGTGCTTGGCTGCACCCTTCATTCAAGCACATGAGCTGGCTGGCAAACAACATGAGGGTGGCCCACAAGCCCTGGGTGGCTCTCTTCCCATCTTGTCAGAGCACACCTCACATACAGGAGATGCTGTCCATGGTGAAGAGGACCTTTAGTCACCAGGGTCCTTCCTGGGATCAAGCAAAGAGTGGCCTGGTTTTACCCCATGATCTATTTGAACATTCTAGGCTCTCTATAGGACAGTTGTTTGCTCTGTTGTCACAGTTTTTGCGAATGAATTCCTTTGGAACATGGGAAGTGTAGGCTGGGGCATGGTTGATGGAAGATGAACTTGGTATTTGACCGCTCGGATGGTGGGCAATTAGATGGAATCCCCTGAGGATGTCCAGTGACTGAAGAGCTCAATTTCCTGCTGGAAGTGGAGCTACTTATGACCACCCTGTGAGGATGGGGACAGAGGTCCAACCCGCGATATGGGACAGGTGACCCAAAGTGTTCTCCATGTTTCTTGCTGTCTTGCAAGAGGTCAAATGTTTTCTTAAGTCTGTTCCCAAGGTGGTTGCTGATTCCTTGGAAAGGGTCCTGGAGCCTTGGACAACAGCTTACTGGCAGAGAGGGTCCCTGGCGTGGCTGTGGGCCTCTAAATGCTTAACTTTGTATTGGACACAGTGTGTATCCTGAAAGGCTGTGCATTCAAGAGGTTAGGCTGCAGTTCTACGTGGGGCTGGTACCCTGGCCCTATGTCCTGTCCACTGGGCTTGTGTTGTATAAAGGAGTGCTGTGAGCTTGTGTGTTCTGGCCTGAGGGGACTCTTACAGCATTGTAACACCTTCATTCTCAAAGGGTCTGGAGGAAGGAAGACAGAGTGTGAGGGACCCTTGCATGAGATGTGTGGGAAGAGGAAAAGAACTTTGGGATCAGTGATGGCCAACAACGACTGGAGAGCCAGTCCAGAGCCACTAGCCTGACTTCCTGCTTGCTCACACATCCTGTGCCCCCTATGTCTGGTGTGGTGACCTCTTGCACTACCCCTGGTGGGCTAGTGGTCTCAGGCAGCCGCTCAGTTGTGTGGTCAGAGATGTACTTTCTGCCCATTCCCTGGCCCTAGGGTCTTGGTCACTCTTACCACAGCTGCCAAGAGTCATGTAATGTATGTGTTCTTTGTTCCAGGAACTCAATCCACTAGGCTAATCTCAAGGCACAAAGCCATTGTGGTCAGTATAGGCAGGGGCGGCGGGATGCCTTAGAGTAGGTGCAGATGGAGGAGGGTGGAGGCCCTTGCTAGCACAAGGCCTGAGAGGATGCCTGTGAGGAATGCCACCTTCGCGACACCCAGGGTGAAAGCCCTTCCACTCCTCCTCACTCCAGCCTCCAGCCCCATGGCCTGGTCAAGCCCCTGCAGCTGGACCCTGGCCTCTCAATGCTTGTTCCCTTCAAGGTTGACATCTTTGTTGAGTTGCTCTCAGGGCCTGTGTTGGCTATCCGCTGAGGATGTGGACCAGATCCAGGGCAGCTGCTGTGCAGCTTTGGTGCCAGTGGGATTTCCTGCTGTGATGGGAACTTGGGAGCCAAGCTGGGCAGAGGTCTCTCTCTGTCTCCTATTCCCTGGTCCTTCTCTCACAACAGAGATGGTGACCAGAGTTGTATGTATGCTCACATCTGCTTCATGCTCGTGCATAGAGCCAGTGCTGTTAGGGCCCAGGAGAGTCCCCTTCCTTTGTTCTCTTTCCTCAAGTCTCAGTTGAGACCCAAGTTTGGGACCAAATGGCTACAGGCAGTTCAGGTCCAGCTCAGCTCTGCATGGACAGGGTGATCCACTTAGATTGCCTCAGACTGTGGCTTCAGCAGTCAATGCTGTGGATGTTCTCAGCAACCAGGTCAGACATAGACATACGTGCTCAGGGAAGTCCAGGCTCTGGGCTTGTCTCATCCTCAGTTTCTTGGCTTCATGACAAAGTCCTGGAAGGAGTGCAACCTGGACCTTAGGTATTATAAATCAAAGCTTGTATTGTTTCCTGGAGTCTGTTCGGCCCTTATTCAGAAAAAAAAATATATATATATTTATATATAACTTTATATATATACATATATATAAAGTTTTAAAAAATTATATTTTAACTGTGAATTTAACGAAAATTTACAGAAAAGTTGGATTTTCTTTCATTTATTCATTGTTCCATATTTTCTTCTGTCCTCCATCCTTCCACCCCCAGATCACCTTCTTTTTTAAAAATATTCATTCATTGTTGCAAGAAGACGAAGTTTCCTCTTAGCATCATAACACTGTTAAAAGTATATATTATAATTGATTATACATTCTTCCAAATTTAGTGTGCCACAGTTCAATGACCTTTTCTTACATGAAATCAAAGTTCTTTCAAACTTTGAAGTAAATAACACTAAGAAATATTTTTAATACCTAGAATTATCTCCTTTGTTACTGTTGTTGTCATTTGCCATCGAGCCAACTGTGACTTTTAGTAACCCATGCACAATAGCTCGGAACCTTGTCCTATCCTGAGTCAACTCACTGTCTCCAACACGTCGGTCCTCATTATCCCAGTTACTATGTGAATCCATCTCATCCAGGGTCTTCCTTTTCCGTGACCACCACCCTTCCAAACATGATATCCTTCTCCAAAGACTAGTCCTTCCTGCCAATAGGCCCACCAAAATATGTCAGAAAGAGCTTCAAAATTCTTGCCTCCAAAAAGCAAGTTGGTTTCACCCTCCAGGACAGACCATTTTGTTTTCTTGGAAGTCCATGATATATGCGGTACTCTTCTCCAGCACAACAACTCAAATGCATCAATCCTTCTTCTGTGATCCTTTGTGATTGTCCAGCTCTCTGATTCATAGCAAGTAATTGTGAAGACCATGGACTGGATCAGGTGCACCTTCGTCTTCAGACTGACACCGTTGTTCTTTAGCACTCTGCAGAGATCCTTGACAATTAATTCCTTAGGATATATTTTTATGAAAATGTAGCATATTTTAATTTCTTTACATATATCTTTAATATTCTTTTTAAAAGTACTTCAGTGAACATTTACATAACAAATGGGTTTACCATTTTAAAATTGATACACATTTTATTTAATAATATTAATTACAATACTCACAATGGAATAACATTTATCCCACATCTTCCTGTAATTCTCATTTCAGTGAATCTGAAGTCTTTTACCCTATCCATTTCTGCCTTCTGGGTTTATCCTTGGGTAAAGGTTGCTCTTATTTTTCGATTCTTTTTTCTGATGCTTCATCCTTTGCAATTACATGAAGATGTTGTGAGTCTCAGTTTCCTCAAGCCTCTTCAGTTGACCCTCACATATCAATCACATTTCTGATAAGTTTATTCCTTGAGCATTTAATGTTATTTGTTGCAATTATGAATGAGATGTCTTACCCCAGCATGGTTTCAGAATGATTAGTGCTGGTATGCAAAAAAATTGTTGTTTCTAGCCACTCTGCTAAGCATTTATATGCTGATATATATTAAATATATATTTATTATATCATACATGTTATTGTTGTTATGTACCGTTGAGTCACCTGTGACTCATAGCAACCCTATGTATAACAGTTCTGAAGCCTGCCCTGTCCTGAGCCAGTCTCAATGACTCGGACACACCTATCTCTATTTCCCTGGTTACTGTATCAATCCACCTATCTGGGATCTTCCTCTCCTGCGTCATCCCTCCACCCTTCCAGTATGATGTCCTTCTCCAAAGATTGGTCTTTCCTGGCCACATGCTCAAAGTATATGAGATGGTGCTTCAGAACCCTAACCTTGAAGGAGAAACTTGGTTTCATTCTCTCCAAGACAGACCTCTTTGTTTTCTTGACAGTCCATGGAATATTCAAGACTCTTCTCCAGCACCACAACTCAAAGGCATCAATTATTCTGTCATCCTTAGTCATCATCTAGCTCTGTGATGTATAGTAAGTAATTATGAAGACCATGGCCTGGATGAGGCGCACCTTAGTCTCTAGACTGACATCATTGCTTCTCAGTACTCTGGAAAGGTCTCTGACAGCAGATTTACCTAATGCAATTCACCTTTTGTTTTCCTGCCTGCTGGTGCCAAGAGTGTTGACTGTGGAGCCCAACAAGTTGCAACTGTTAACAATCTGAACCTCTACTCCATCCATCATGGTGTTGCCAATTGGCTCAGTGGTGAGAATATTTGTCTTCCTGATGTTGAGCTTTAGTCCATATTAAAAACTATAATCCTTGACCTTCTGCAGCAAATACTTCAGGTCCTCCTCAGTTTCAGCAAGCAAGGTTGTGTTAACTGCATAATATAAGTTGTTGATGAGTCTTCCTCCAATCCTGATGCCACATTTCTTCTCATAAAGCCCAGTCTCCCAAATGATCTCTTCTGCATATAGATTGACAAGGTATGGAGAAAGGACACATCCCTGATGCACTCCTTTTCTGATTTTGAACCATGCAGTGTTTCCCTGCTCTGTTCTGAGAACTGCCCCCGGTCCAAGTATAAATTCTGCATAAGCACAATCAAGTGTTCTGGGACTCCCATTCTCCTCAAGGTTAACCACAATTTGTTATGACCCACACAGTCAAATGCTTTTGACTGTCAATGAAACACAGATAGATATCCCACTTGTACTCTTTGCTTTCTGCCAAGATCCATCTGACATTGGTGTTAATGTCTCTAGTGCCACAGTCTCTACTAAACCCAGCTGCTATTTCTTGTAGTTCTCTGTCAATGTACTGTTCCAGTTGTTTCTGGGTAATCTTCAGCAAGATTTTGCTTGCTTATGACATGAGTGGTACTGTATGATAATTTT